ACTATTGCCAGACTTGATCCTCATTTATAAGATTGCATTACTTCCTCGGAACTCGAAGTACATTTACTTCCATTTTCCTACGTAGCCAACTGTCTCTCCTTTATAACTTGCGCATATGCATGTATGTCGGATTGTGGGTGATAAAAATAAATAGGCATAAAACGTAATCGTCCTTACCCCACTTGGCATTCAAGAAGACTTTCCCAAGTATCGTAACATATGGTTCATTATGCAAGATAATCTTGATTCGTAAGTCAGTTCCTCCTTGTTGAAAATCTAGATTTGAAAATGCATCTACATATTTATGTGCATAAGTAGACGAAAAATCGCTTCCGGTTTCGTTGTTAAACTGAAATAGTACTAGGAAAGAAAATGGTATAAATAATGCGAGAGTTGATTCGATCCTAATACTCACGGGTTTTACAGTTCGAAGAATCAATAAATTTTAGGGTGCGTCCCTCTAAGGATAAATTGCATGACCACCTCGAAAATGATCCCTACTCAACCCACATAAATATGCATCAGAGAATTAGGATGCCAACTCTGATAAAATGCATCCATCACCTGAGTTCTTTGCCATGAATCATTTATGTCAGAAAACTACACAGCCATGTCAGATTAAAGGAATCAATCGTTTGTAATTTGTGATATTGTGATTCAATTGAAGATTATTTGCATCCCACGCACACAAACTGAAATGGAATGAATATTTCAACGCTCATACTTCATAGTACATGTGCATATCAAAGTACAAGCAGTAGAAAGGTTTTGATTTTGTCACGTACAAGTAAGTGGGTACCGATTACAACGGCTAGACATGGTTGAAGCTCATTAATTTACTGTATGATACCAACCAAGTCATTTTTATGCCATCTTCATTAATTTAAGCAATTCCAGAAAAATTGTCTGACGTAGTCGGAAATATTCTGGTGAGACTGAGACGAGATCAAAAGAATCAATAGTAAGCAGATCAAAATATGCAATTCTAATAATTAAGGGGCAATCATTCTGAACTTCAAAGAGGCGATTTTGTAAAATAAATTAGGTAAGCCACATATTGACGGACACGGTTTGCAGTCCTCTGGACAAGTTGGCTCCAAGTGCGATTATGTATTAGGACTTACACAAGCACATGTTGTATAAGGACGATTTGGTTGAATAAATCAACATTCACTTGATGGTTTAATAGCATAAATTATGTCCATGTTATGTAGGCACAAGGACATACGTATGTAAGTCATTAGAGAAATTGTTGGTTGTTTTACCTACAAATCTTATGCAACGGGATACTTCTCTACGACTTATGTATGAATTATGTCAAAATAACACTTTTCAGAGTGAGTCAGCCATTCAAATCAATAACTATTGTTTAAAATCAAATGCACAACGAATAAGTATGTTTGAAACAACAAGGTTTGATGCATGGAATAAATAAACCATATTTTGTGTCATGGGGCTTTTATAAGATCGATGCCCTACTCTTAGACAAAAAACGTGCTATTTACAAAGAAAGGCGAGCGTACTTCCAGGTAGAAACCCGGAAGGAAGGTGTAAATTATCCAATTTAAGAAGGGTTAAGGTTAAACTTACGACGTGGAGCAGGAGCAGTGCAGTCGTCGGAATACATAAGTGACGGATATATTTAGACGAAGGAGCGTGGAGGAGAAGAATGACCATTGTGGTGGCATTATTACAATCACACATTGTCTGCGACGACGAGAGGGTGAGTGGTTCGATGAGCATCAAGTGCGAGGAAGGGAGTGAAAATCGTGGAGACTGAGAACACGTTCAGTTCACGTTCCCACGGCATAAAGTCCAGATAAGGCCCTCTCCCTCATTATGAATACACGGTATGCTCACTTCACTACCTAATGTGCAGTAGGCTACCCTCCCCGAAATAATCCTCGTCTCATCTCTTCCACCCGCAGTAATGCTTTCGGAGACGCAATTTCCTCGTGCACAGAGGAATGGGAAGCACAATAAGAAGCACATGGATGCACGACGACGATGATAATAATGACGCCGACAGTATTCATTGGGGTTAAAACTCAACATAACATTATAAACAGTGACGTTACCATAAAAAACTAGATTTCATACGTGTGCAATGCAATGCAATGACATTTTGGGGGAAGATCTGCGTATACTGAGGAAATCAAATATATTTTTTTTTACATATCTGTATGTGCGTCTATTATTATGCGGCTGAACATACATACATATATGATTTGACAGAAGAATGGTTTCTTAGATTCACCTGTTGGGGGCCCAGTAAGCTTTGACACTTACCTCCATTGTCGTTCCTTCCTCTTGTTGCTGTATTTACTCAATCGCTTCTCTCACCGGGTATTGTTTTACTTGTGCAACGTTTGTTTTCCACTCGTCAATCCATATCCTGTCGTGTCTTCATTTGGCGTCAAATGAAGGCATTGACTCTCGGATGCGCTTTTTCTGTTTGCACTTTGCACTGAAAATTATTTTGGATTTTCAATAAGACATGTATACAAAGCATTAGATGCTAAAGTTTAAAAGTTATGACACCAAAATGTGTCCGATTAAGCTTGTCAGTAGGAGATACACATCATAGATAGGTCAATATGCAGATATTATGCAGGTAACCTTGAGCTCTTCTCGTTCCCACACTTCCTCTCCCTTTTCCTACAACTTAATCAATTGTCACCACAAAAACCCAACGTTTGCCAACAAAATGGAAACCAGTGACGGAAGAGATGGAAAGTTTGTTTTGTGATACTTGATACGTGAAAAACTATTGTGAGGTACATAGGAAATGGTCAAACTGAGATTTTGAACCTTCAAAACCCTTCGCACTTGATTCTCCACGACCCTCTTTATATGCTCATACATGTAGCGTGGGAGTTTTGCTAATATGCTCAAACTGCCAGCACCTGTTGTACATGACCATGAAGAGACATTAGGCACCGTAAACTAATATTAAGAACATGACTAAATCACCTTGCTAGTTGCCTTAAATGATTCTAACCGGTACGCGTTTTGATATAAGGTGAAATTATTTATGCAATAAAATTTGCTTAAACTATTTTCCAAGTTAAGTTTCCGTCCGACCGCTGCTGTTGACGTTTATTAAAACTCACAAGCATGAATAATGAATTATGAGACGTGATTCACTACGTGGCTGCAGTGACATGTTTAGATACTCGTTAATAGTTACACGTACAACAAATGAGCGTATTGATGAATAGCAGATAATTTGGGACATGCACACTAACCAACCAATATAGATATTAAATCAATGTCCTCAATCTTTTGTGACACTGTTTGACTGCTGCGGAGGGAGAGAGGAAAATGTGTCTCATCCAGCCGATCCGGTTAAATAACCTCATCATGAACACCATCATCATCCCTGAGACGTAACCGTAGTTGGCATGTTATACAACTCGAGACGAACAATCGGGCTAATTTCACATTGTATGAGCACAAGCATTTCTCAGAGTGGAGTGGCCAGACCTGTCATTAGGGAAGTTAAGTTACCACACCGAGTCCAAGGGACACAACTTCACCCAACCTTTGATGACAGCAACTGCACATCATCAGACTTCAACGTGAAAAATGCATGTGGAATTAGTAGAGAGAGTTGTGATTAAGTAATCCCAAGAAAAATTGGAATATAGCAATTTTATACGAAATGACTAGCCCATTTATACACGTAACTCGCAATAAAAAAAACTTGTGAGCAAAAAGTGAAAGTCCATGATGCTTGGTACAAATTGCCGTGATACGACCAGCTGCTGCACGTTCAGTTTCAAACAGTCACCATATTCCCCACTTTACATTTGATGCGATTAATCCTAGAACCCCCTATTTTCCCAGTGGCTTGATAAGGTTAAATAGCATCACATATGTATGTATGCATGTAATAATAATAAATAGGTACAAATTTACGTATATCCAATTTTTGTCACACACATTTTGACAATTAATTGACAAATGATATTTCGTTTTTATTTTATGTCATGCATGAGTTCCAAACTCATGCTCGTCAATAAGTGAACTAATTTAATTTTTGTGTCTACCTGATATTGAATTACCCACCTAAAGAAAGCATCATTAACCAATACACAGAATACTAGCGATTCTAAAGAATTACCGTTGGTGTGCGTGGCAGGTAAACGTGAAAGATTTTTGGCCCTGTTTTTCTGCTTTTGACGTCAACCTTCGTCGTGACTAAGCTGTGTGTCCATCTTGAGTAAAGTAGCAACCAAACCAAACCAAATACTAATATAATTTCAGTCTCGCTTACCCATAGCTAATTTTGTAAAATGCTTGTGTTATTCTTGTAATTTTAAAAGGGAAACTTAAATAATTAATATAAATATGCTTATTTTAAGGGTTGTTCCGGTTAAGTAAGAACAAAACACCCACACCCACCGGGGAGTTCTATTCTTGGAAGCCGAGACAGTGGTTCACATAATTCCAGGAAGTGCATTGAAGTAAGTGTGCCAAAATTAGCCATTTCACTTTGATGTTTTCTACTAGTTATTTCTGAGTGTTTTGTGAGACTGTATTCTAGACTTTATTGTACATATCATTTATTAAAAATAATGCATTTAAAAAAATTTCTAATAATGAAGGCTCAATAAAATACTCCACAAATTCATGTTATAATCTGAATCAGATGCACATTCTTAACACATTAATGCACATTTTGTTACGTAGTGTTCTCTATTTACTCCTCAAGATTCGAGTGTTTTGTTCAATCAAAATCTTAACAACAGCACGCACACATGCAGCATTTATACATACACACGTAGAACTCTCAAGATTTCTGTGTCTGCTTGGTAAGCAATCATAAAATAATTCATCGACGCGTGTCGATAGTTGCATTTCCACTCAAAATCAAGTGAGTTGCTAAAATGATCTCGAAAACAAGAACTTTCCACGACCAAAACTTGATCCGAGAATCAGAGGAAAGTAGGATTGGAGTTGGTTGAGGTTATACGTACTTTCACTCCCAGAACTGACTCACACTCCTCGTTTCTGGAGGAGTCGCATCTCCCATGAAAAAGCGAGTTCACTTTCTCCGACTCCACATTCTGAGAGCAGTTTCCAACCTGAGCACTCCTTTCTTCCCCTCTCATGTGCTTACCACTGCTTTCACTCGTCTCACACCGCCCGGGCGGATCCAGACAGCTCCACCTGAAGAAACCTTCTCATCAACAGTTTCAAAATCAGACTTAAATGTACCTGTTACCACTCGGCACTCTGATTCCAATTACACAGCCGTTCAATTTTCAATTCTTTTAAACTATAGCGAGAGGCTTGGAATACAGCAAGCATGGAGAGAATGGAAGACTCTCTGGAAACGCTGCCCGGTGAGATTTCCATCGATGGGGAAAATGATCCCTTCGCAGAGGTTCCACTCTGGTCCATGTGGGTGTCAACGATGGCCCTCTCCATCGCCTTTGTCATTGGACTACCTCGTAAGTCACCCTCACTTTCCAATAACTGGTTCAAGCAAATATGAACTTGCATTTTAATTATCATAGCCTATCATAGTAAGGCTTTTATAAAAGTTCATCAATGAATAGATGGGAAGTTTCCTGAAAAATAATTTCTCATATTCACATAAGCCTTTCACTACCTGATAAAATCATTCTGGCAACAGTTGCCAAATATGTACAGCAAAAAATTAATCTCTCCACGGAGCCCTTGACATTTTAAATTTGAATCAAAGTCAATCAACTTATAAAAGTTTCAACTTATAAATCAACTTATAAAAGTTTCCATTCCATACATCACAGACTCACTTTTGTTCGACGCCTGAATAGGTGCAGGTTGACAAACTTTTATGCTAAAGTTAAAAAACATGTAGAATCACCGGTGCATTAAAAATTACAATGTTAGTTTTTACTTGTGTGTAACAAATCCGCTTACGATTAGTTTTGAAACTTTTAACAATTGTCCGGCATCGCTTTGAGGACAGTGTCTGAAATTCAGACCTGCCGATGGTTCCATTTTTACTCTCTTCATTAAATGCAAACTATCGATGTCTGAAAACTTTATCCTGGCTTCGTTACGTTGATTGTGGTGACTTATTTTAAAGTTCAGAATCTGATGAACTTTGCTCAGAGTTAGTCAAAGTGTGTTACCAACGACAAACCGCAGAATGTTTTGTACGAGTATGACCCTGAACTCATGAATTGCGACAATCGGATTTGATTGTACTCAGATCAACACTTTTCCCAAGGATATGTATTATTGGGTTGCATACAATGTCGTCTAACTAAACACACACCTTTGAACTAGTAGAAGAGATATCCAATGATGTAAATACATGTGTGTGTATGTCTAGTGACTATGTACAAATACCTAATTATGTACACCAGAATGTCTAACAGTACTTGACGTGATTGGCCTTCCCAGAATTAACCAGCCCCAATAAACAACTTTGAATGTGAATCCAAACTTTTCAGCATGTCAGAGTTAGCCCTGCATATTTCGCATAATGCACAGTTCTAGGAAGATGGTTTAACTTTTAAACCTGATCTGAGGCAAAATCTGTCGCTGAAACTGAAAACAAAGAGAAGTTCCCAAGGCTAGGCTATATTCCCAACAGGCCATAAATCTGGATTTGATTTCTCCCCTTGCCCTCGAAGCATGGAAAATTATGCCCAACAAAAAAGCTATTGGATGCATAATTTCGTGGTTGTAAATCCAGTTGAGACTGCTTCAGGAACCTTGATCTTTAAACTACATCTGCGGACTAGGTGATTGGATGCGTGTTAACGATGTGATAACCGTCGGTAGTGAAAGTTCACAATTGCCAACAATTCCTGAACGCCAGAACTTTGAGGATTTCTTTAATGCATCAATAAGATTTAAGGTTGATCTGCTCTGTGGAACCATCTTGTTGGAATTGATGTACGTAATGTAATGTATGTAAATGTACATAAATAATGCTAGTCATGCCTCAAAATTAGCTTGTCATATCGTTACTTGAAATAGTGTGAAGGTTTAAATCTTTTTGTTGCAAAATTCAAGCTTCGCTGGAAATACGGAGTTAAAAAAGGAATAGTTTATAGAAATTTGAATTTTGAGTTTGGAAAAACCTAGAAAATCCAATCCCAAAGTTTTTTCGCTTTCGAGAGTTGGTTATATTTCTGGTTCAACATAAATTGCATTGGACAAAATTGTTCGATTAAAATCAGTTTAAGCATTGATATTTGTGACAAAGTGGAAACAAATAGATTTCAAATGGACCACGCATCTTCTTCATGCACTTTCCTGCTGGGTCGTGAGTGGCAGCTCTGACTTAAAAGAAACTATAGATCAAGGAGGAAAGCTGTCAAATTCAGCCCAAAACTCTGATAATTACCTTCAAAGCGTTCAATCAATTTTACATTAACCCACTTACTTGCAATCTGAAACAGATGTTTAATTATAACTTTGGATGGTTTCCTAAATTGTGCAATCTCACTTTTACTTTTGCAGTTAATGGTGCAACCGTATTAATATTCTGGAGATGGAAGAAATTACGACATTTGGTGAACTTTGTCCTACTTCTGGACTGGTAAGCTGCATAAATATTAAGTTTTGTTATGTGATTTGAATGTGGTTGAGCGGAATTTACACGACCACGTTTTATGAAGCAGCACAAAGTAGTTATAATCTATGAAACAAGTATCCATAACTGTCCATAAAAATTTTAATATTTCCGACAAATTTGAGGCATGTAGTATTGTAGGCAAGAAAAGATCGAGCCCAAGTTGTTGCTTTCACTCGCTCTCCGTATCAACTATCTAAAATCTTTCTAACCATTAACTGCTACAACTGCTGAAATTACCAACTCTGTGAATGCACATTTCTAATCCAATCTATTTACTAAAAACATTTCAGTACATAAGAAAGAATCTATGCCCATAAATTAAACTTGATACGCAGCCAATGGATGCACATATGTAGGCTGATCTTTGACACCAGATACATGCTACACTTGATGATCAGTGTAAATCGTGTATACAACCAAAATAACCACCTCCGAATCAATTTTATTTACTTACAATTAGTAGTTATTCAATATTGTGAAAATAACTGTTTTTTTGGGTTTTTAGCCTTTCACACATCGTTTTGTGTCTCGTGTGCATTCCGATTCATTTGGTCACTGGTAAGATTTTTCACATACTATGATGTCATACTATACTATTATATTACGATATATGTACGCAAGCTATACTATATACTGCAACTTACAAATCCTTAGTACATGCCTTGGTCTCGCACGAAGGACTTGCCAAATATCTATGTGTATAAATGTCTACGTTCATCATTTTACCGGAAGTGTGAAGTGCTGTGCACACACCAACACACACACTCGACGTATATATAGTCCAACTCCATTACACAAAAATAATTTAATTTCGGGAGTTTTAACATGGAAAACCCCAGAAAAGTTTGTGCATGTGTTCCATTTCCACTTCATCTTCCCTCTCGGTCCGTGAGCCTGCCCTAACCAAATACGATAGACATCCATCCATCAAAGTATTAAGTTAAACTGACAAGAGTTCCATATAAGTAATAACCTACGCTAACGTTGGCCTATACAGCAAAACTGGCAGCATCACACAACCAAACTTTCACCTCCTCGCTTCATACCATAATCTGCCATGCACTTTCTCATCGTTACCTGCACGCATACAGACGGGAGCACGACAGACAAGGATGAGCGAGTGGTCGAAAGTAGGTTACAACAAAAGACTCATCTCACTCAATCCACCAACCAAGTAAGTAGTTTGAGCAATCATTGCTCAGTTCCGTCCATCGCTGTCCACCTGTCTTTTCATCTGATATTAGATGACTTGATTCCTGGTATACGTGCAGGAGCAGGGCAGGCTGATAACTTTCACTGCCTGCAGTTAGTCCCAGTCACTCAAACTTGCTTTTGTTGGCTAACTGATACAGGGGATCAATTACCTTCGCAGTCTGAGGAGAAGTTTTAGTCCAACCTTTCCCCAATCTAGAAATAATAGGAGCACTTTGCTCTCTATAATCCACTATGAGCATATACGACGAGGACTTCAAAATTGATTTGCACATCAAAGGAAGATTTGTCTACTTTCTGGGGAGACAAAGCAGAGAGAGAACTTAGAGTGACGAGAAAACCAAAGCAGGAAAGTTGTAAGTAAACTGTCTGTTATGGTATTAGTTTGTCTGTTGCAGGGGATTGGAGTAAAGCGATTGGAGCGATGTTGATGATTGAAAATGAAATGATGTGTCAAACGCTTGCAAATATCAAGTTTTCTTCAAGCCATGTGTCATACCGCAATTTCATAAGACAGAGTCTCGCCATTTACTACCACAATTTGCCCCTTTCTACATAAGTTCAATAACGCATACATGAGTACATTGGTTTTAATAGTTTTTGTAAAACTCAAATACTTGATGGAAAGTTGAATGTGCACCAGCATTATGCATTTTCTATCTGCTACTTGCCACCTGGGAAAAGTGAGAAAACTGCACTGTGTGGTACAAATGAGACGAGTGAGAAAGAGTCGTGCTTTGAATGAGAGGAAAACACTTCACAAAATTCACAGCAGGAAGGAATTAGATTAACTACACGAATGTACTATTATGTTTTGGGTGGGATTACGTAATCTTGGCTAGGGCTTCCGAGTTTCCTTTACTTGGTAATAAATAAATGGGATGATTTCCTTTCAACTGCAACCATAATATCCGTCCACTCACTCGCTCAAACTCAAACTATTTCCTGAATTTCTCCTGACAGTGAGTAACTATCCGGAGTGAAAGTAAGGAAAAATCTGATACTGAGAATATCTCAACTTTCTCTGCTTTCACTTCACGATGTTCACTCCGTACTGCGTATATTGATAGAAATGCTCGAATCTTTCTTAAACTTTTATCAGATTATAATCCCAGCGGGTACTTTAGAATTTCTGGGAAAATTCCAATTTCTATGATTTACCTACATGACCAGGCGTAGGGTTGTTAAGTCTGAGGGTGGTCACAAAAGCGGAAGGGATTGAAAAGGCGTAACGCATGGCGAGATGGGTCCGAATTTACGTCACTGAACACAAACCTTCTTTACATTTGAATCCTTTGAAAGTTTATTCACCTCTTCGCCCAATCTGTATTGTTTAACTGATGGGATTATTCAGAGACTAAATTTGTGAAATTACCCCAACGCAAACAATTGAAAGTGCGGACTTGTTATTTGGTAACCTCGAACCGCTTAAGCATGAGTCATATTGTAAAATTCTTTTGGATTTTCAAACAACACGAGAGTGAACTAAATTTATTGAACTATATATATTGAACTAATGCTTGATAGACGATTCTCGATTGTTCCCCTGTCGGCTATTTCTAATTTATTGGGATAAATGAATGCAAGTGTTTAACAATTGAAGTTGATTTTGTCTTTTGTTCGTGCGAGAATTATTGTTTATTTGTGATTTTGGATGGTATACTTATGGTCTAGATAGTTTTGGTTATTTGGCATTGTCGTTCCCGGAATAAGTCTTTATTATTTTACATTGAAAACGCATATTGTAGTGTTTAATTGAATACTGCAGACAAGCTGGAGTTCGCGAGGTTTAATGTGCTGTAGGGAAGGTGGGTTGGTATCCACCGAGAATTGGAACACCGCTTTGGTTGGACATAAATCTCTCCATCTCTTAAGGAAAGCACGTCAGAGAAAAAGCAAATGAAAGAAAAAGTCACTAACAAACAGCCGAGCGGCCACAGTTACATGCATACTTTGGTCGGATTACTTTGCATTATTTCTCTTGTGATCTTGTCACACTTGACAAACTTGTGTTTTCCTCGTCTCGCGATACATGGGTGAAACTCTATTGTGAGAGATGAAAATGGAAAAGCGTGGTGATACAATGAAGTCGTTGTAATAACTCAACTTCCTATTTTATGGCCCCAAAGTTTTAGCCGACTCCTTGTATGGAAGAGTGTGAAATTCGCAGTAATTTCACAATTCGACAAGTTTATAAAGAAGGATAACGTCCCTCGAGAGAAAGTTGGGGAGAAGGAGTCTCACCGCATCGTCACGTCAGCTTTAGTGCTGCTCATGAATTTGTTTAATAGAATAAAAGAGGTCATAGACCTGAGAGATTACTCACACAAACAAATGCAATTGTACATGTCAGGTTTGTAGGTGACACAATAGCCCGCAGCAGGTATGAAGGAAGACATTATTTCGGGTAATTATGAGGTAAAATTTACTATGAAATCAAGCAAGTGTTTGTAGAAAACAATTGCATAAGGTGATGATTTGAACTGGAACTTTCGGTCTTTTCAACTAGTGACCCCGTTACCTTTATGCAGGACAAATAGGTGACGTAGGTGGGTGTTTTATTTGTGTTTACAACCGAACCAGATAGCCGTCCATCCATCCACCACCCACCCACCCATGTTTACCCATAACCTCGTTGATGTCAATAGGTTATCTAGCACACCAACCAATGAATGGATCAAACCAACTCAGACAGAACTGGCATTTATTTTTTATCGTTCATTTTTCATACGAATGTTCGTAATCAACATATATATTGATAATTTAATGCGTCAAATAAATGACAACCGACACAATAACGATTTAATTTAACCAAACCAATTTAAAAATCAAAGTGACCAATTTAAAAATAAAGTATCAAAATTGCTAAATTAAAAGTTCATCAGTCAGTAAAATATTTTTATTGGAATTTGCGCTAATAATCTCATCCATTAAATTTCAGTTTGGAGCAGTTCGAGCCTGGCTGGATTGACGGGCCTCGCCACGCTTCAACAAGTGGTCGGAAATCTTTCCAATGTCTGCAGTACCTTTCTCACCGTCTCCATCGCCATTCTTCGATACAGGTGATTTCACTTGCTGAGAAAGTGCATGCATTTCATTTATGTGTTCCTAAAATCAATCTGACTTTCATTGTTCTTTTTATTCGTTTGTGTGCGTAGACGTCTCTGTTGGAAGAAAAAGGACAAGTTTTCCGCGTCAAATGCAATCAAATGGTCGGTGCTAATTGGGTGCGTGGCCCTGGCAGCTTTCACATTCTCCCAAACCTACTCATCCTTTCACAGCAATGATGAAAAGACGATGCTGATTTTTACTCTCGTCAAAATCTTGTTGATAATTCTGTCGGTGAGGAACAACGGATTTATTTCTCTCCTTGCATTATTTTTGTACTCATTTATATTCTTATTTATCGTGATGAACTCCCTCACCAAGAAACCCGACAATGCAATTTCAGGGCAATTTTAGAACAGCGTAATCACCTGGAAATCCAAGATTGACTTTTCTACGTGACTAAAATTCAAAGTTAATTGAGTTTTCTTGTCGACTGTTTTATACTTTAAATGAGAGCAAGCGTTCAGTGACCTGCAGTCTGGTCAATACATAAATAGATGACGCTATTCCTGAATTTCTTCTTCACCCACGGATAAGGATGAACACATCACGACTGAGATCATTCATCATTCCCGTTATCCGAAAGGTTTATCGCCCTGTCTTGCTTATCTGAATGCATGGAGAAAGGGAAGGATGGCTATACCGCCATTGTTTATTTTATGCAAGTTGGTTGGCATACTCTCCTCAAATCGGTTAATCACCACAGCCAATAATATCATGGTTTTGATGAGCACATTCTACTTTAATTTCGTGAGATGACAGCTTGTCTCGGTTAACTTACGACTCCCACCTAATATCTTGATATACCACCATTAACTCACAAATCTACTAGATTTATGTATATCAAGTGATGGTTCCTTTAGTCACTGGCGAAAGCCTCCGGTTGAAAGTACATTCAGGTCTCATCCAACCAGCCAAATCCTTGCGTATGTACATGGTGAAAGCGTATGTATAACAACTACTTAGGTTCAAAGAACGTTGGTGTGGAACTTATTCCTTTATGAACTAACTACAACCGTGGGCTCCACATGTTGTTGGGCGTGAGTGATGCAAAAAGACGATTGATGTTGAAATTCAGGAAGTTTCCGGATGAGCACAACAACAACTGAAATGCTGCTGATGCACAGATAGTATGACGCATATATACTTTGACTTTTAGCTTGCAGAATGCATACGACATAGATGAAGCGCTGCTGGTGAGAGAGCAAACTTGCAAAAACGAAACTTTATTGTACTGAACATTACACCCTCCTGTGTTGGCATTTATATTCCAATCGAGTTCTTCCCAAATTTGCACATGTCAATCACGGCTTTGAACTTATCGTTTCACTCTATCAATAGATTGTCATTTATTTCGCATCTCGCAAAAAGTTGATGAACGTCATCAGCAGCCGTGGATGAGGTTAAAGCAGGTCATCCACAAACAGAGAACAAGCCATAAACCAAATCATTAACGCCGTTATTGTGTAGGCTCAGAGAAATATTATAACAATACGGCGGATGAGAAAAGTTGCTTCATTGAGGATAAGATTAGTCACATTCTTCTCCTAATGAAGGTTTCATCTAACCAACAAGAGAAGCGACCAAGACCTCCATGAACAAATTGCATTATCATGAGATCAAGTTAGCTCGTTAACATAACAAATGATGACAAAAAAGATGGGAATATATTTCAACCAGGAACGTAGCTAATTAGCTGGATATGCATATTAATTGATGTTTTTGGTTTAATTATTGCAAGTTATGAACGAATACGAACGGCCTCGTGAGAGTTGTGTGGTGGTATCATCCCAGATCACGTGAAAGCATTTTTTTGCATACGTGTTTACTATCTGCTAAAACAGTTCTGAATTAATAGCATAAGCTAAGGAGTTTTGTTGGTGGAAAACAAAACCCACGAAGGGGAGGAACGAAACTTATAATAAGAGAAACTTGGTATTGGAACACTTTCTTGTTACCCGAGCCTCGAAAAACATACAATGAAGCTCTTGAGTATATACGCAATCCGATCTTGTGTTCTTGGGAAACATACACAATCATCATTAGTACATGTGCATAAGGCAACGACATTTGCAACACGTGACAGTTTCCTTATTTATTACAATGCACAGACAATTGCGGTGAGGAGGGTTGTGTCTTATATACTGTTTTAGGCTTTGTCCCCCTTTATATCTATGTAATGCAAATATGAGACTGTGAAATCTGACTCTTTCTTTTCCCTACCTTCCCTCAGATGGCAATCGTCTTGTTCTGTTACATTCGCATATCACAAAGAGTGTGGGCAAACGTTGCGAGTCAGGAGAAAGTGATGGATCACATAAAGCAGAAGAATATCTGGAGAAAGTCCCGCAGAAATCTCGCAGCTAGAGCCGCAATTCACAGTTGCGTTCAAATAATCCTGGTAATAGCCACACTGTCCCCACATCTTTACGAGCAGATGCTGGAAGCCTTGTGCTCCCAAAGTTTGCTGGAGATTGCTGCTGCTCAATCATCAAAGTCGGTCGTGGGGTCCACTTCAATCAGTGGAGGGGACGTCCAGGGATATCACGATGACTTTAATGTGATGATGGGTGACTCCGGTGGCTCGGGTAGTGGCGACGAAGACTGGCTGAGAAGTCCACAAAGCCCAGAAGCAGCAATTCAAGAGGATTCTTCCACTTCCTCGACCACATTGTCGTCCAGCGACAACCACTTGGCACGACTTATCGGGATCACTATTAACTACGCCCTTCTCATACTTGGGTAAGTAAACCACCAACCTTCCCAGCCCGTTATGCCATACCAATAACGCCGTTGCATTCTCGGTACATTTTTTGGCTAGAGATATGCTTTGCTTTTGCATGTTGTGTGATGTGAAGTGAATATGCTACGTAATAAATAATCCTTATAGTGATCTGGCATGTGCGGCTACTTGAAAACAAGGACTTTCTGATTATCCACTAAACCACGACGCGTGGAGACTAGTCAGTCCATGGTGACACGTGGAATTAAGTGACATAAATATTTTTTTCAGGGTCTTGGATCGACGATCTCCTTATTCTTGTCCTTTACATATGTAAATATGACCCCCCATTTATATTTTCACCGTTCGTCGTTTACTGACAGAAGCTACCAGACAATTGTTACTATCCTAAATTAACAATTGCGTTATTATTAAGTGACGAAAGACGAAAGTATAAATCGGGCAGTAGTACGTATGTGGTCACATTTTTCAATGTTTCGATTTCCATTGCACCATGAGAAAGCCTATATCTAAAAGCAGACTATCTTATTTATTTGAGTTTGACACTAGCTGTTTCACTTGAAAGCATAAAGCATGACTGCTGGAGATCGCCATTACATATATTTGGATGAGAACTGACTTCTGGATACCATCAAATTATTGGCGTTATATTTCAAGTCTGTAAACAAAATTAATATCTTGTTTACTTTATGTATTATAAATTATGAAGAAATTTAATGCCCACAATTAATCAGTCGAAATACATGACCTTCCTCATCACCATTGTTGATACCCTATTTGGAAATTTCCATCATCAATCCAGCCAGATATAGATCTGATCTGCCAATAAATAGTTATTTAGTTGTTCTGTCTCCTTTAGCTATAAAAATACGATACTAAAACTCAGAGAAAACATGGTCATTTATGGTAATCAAGAGGTATGTACAGGGTGGTTAAAATGTCACGCTACAATGGAAAATTTTTCGATGGGAAAAATTCGTAAATTTCCATTAGTTACGAAATTTTGTCTCTAAAATTCAACATTTCAAGAATTTCGTCATCAGAGTTCCATCAGTTTTGATAATAATTTTATAAAAAATCTCAACCAAAAATCTTGTAACTAATGGAGATTTAGGGATTTTTCCCATCGAAAAATTTTCCATTGTAGCGTGACATTTAAACCACCCGGTATTTCATAAGCATAATAATTATTATGGTGACAGAAATATTAAGGGCTAAAAATTTGCAACTTTGAATCTTGCCTTGACTTGGGTTTCACCATTGTCCCCATTCAAAGTTTTTGCAAATTGACCTCAAACACGGGTTTACATAAAGTGTAGCTGCTTTCACATAATTCTATGCATCTCGCTTTCTCTCGAAACGACAGTCAGTGTAATGTTGCATCATTATTATTCCAGTTGCAGAGCTATCATTTTACCTCGAGTTGCACCGTAAACTGTTGTTCACCATGATTTTAGTCTACTCATTAGCAACATTTTAGTGCTTCTTTTCTTCGGCATAAAGAAAAAGTAAAATTTAACGCTCAAATTTTCACTGTAAAGCCAACACTCAGCAGACCCTGTTGCAGTGGTGGCAGTATAATTTTATTACAAATTACGAGCACAAGAAACATCAAGTAAGATTAGGCATCTTCCAATAAAGAAGTCTCATCGAGCTGACAGCAGACTGCTGCAAATAAAATCAGAGTTGCATTCCTTCTGCAACCTTTCTGCTCCCTAAGAATTTTTATAAGATGATCCATAATACTAAAATAAAATCACGTACAAAGTTTGCCTTCAAATCATGGCATGGAATTTGAGAGGTCACCCCGAGTTCAGGGCCTTCTTTTTATCACTCTCCTTTCTCTTCAGCTGAACTCGCCCTTGTCAACACAAAAGTTGCGGATTCAACAATTTGTATCAGGTGGGCGACTACTGGTCTACAATGAGCGTTGGGGGTTATGAACGGAGAAAATGGCTCCAAAGCGGTTGTTGTCAATAGCGCCTCTCTCGCACTCAAAGTTCCAACCACAGATACGGAATTTAGTTTATACGTCGGTATAAAACACCGGATGTTGGTATGCCATAAAACACTCTGTGGTTCACACAGTGACAATCCACTTCCCCTTCTTTCACTTTCATCACAAATTGGGAGACCGACGTGACAAAAAACTAGGCAAAATAGTAACAAAAACAAGTGAAAGTTCAAAAGTCACAGGCCAATGCTCGTATGGAATCTTTCTTTTATTTTCTTTACAAATAAAATTCCTACAGGGTCGCATGCCTTGACTCGTGTGGCTACAGTTAAAGAAATAACTAGAAATATCTATTTAACAAGAACTATGTGAGGTTTGCTCACTTTGAATTTCGAAATTTGATTATTTCTTGAATTACAGATTATCACATTCAATTATCTTAAACAATTATCCTAAATTAATGCACGAATAAAGCATCAAATTTGTGGGCTTCCTTTCTTTGTGGAGTTGAGCTAATTTGTAGACGCTGTTGAAGTTATGTAAGTATTTTTGCGTAAATCCAATTTCTGGTACCAAGAATACATAAATTTATGTTTTATATGAAACTTTCCTGGTAGTCGAAATACGAGTACGTCATTTACTGGTCTCCAAATTTGCAGTGGGAAATTTTTCATCAGAATATTAGACCTACGTCATACGAGCTAACCTTTTACATGAGCACGAAGGACGTGGTAATGATTTGTGAAAATAGAAATACCAACCTCAAACAAATGATTGGCGATTAAGCTCTTCGTCCGATAGTTCTAAAGCATTCCTAATTCTTGCGTAAAACATAAAATCTGACGACATTGCATTAAAATACGAGTAGTCGTACAGGTAAACGTAATATCGCCTCAAAACGGCGACATGTGTCTTATTACTTGAATTTTGGTTTACTCTAAATCCTTAGATTTCGAATCCAGCTTTCTTTTATTGATGCTTTCACCTTGAGCATTTTAAGATGAAAGGACTGCTTATCCGTAGTTGGACAGAAGCAAAATGAGCTTATGCATACATACATTCCTTGTTCTTGGAAATATAATTTTCACACTTTTGTGGACTCGCAGAGTGAGTAAGTCGCTGGACGACATGTTTAATCTGCAGTTAAGGCTTTGAAAAATAACGGGATTGGAAATTTTTGGCATGTTTAGCTTTACTGTCACTTCAACTATCCAATCTGTCAGGTAACGAACTCAGAGCCTGGACGTGCGGTTTTTCTTGAGCGTTTCTGGACAAGAAACAGTCACGTACGCATTGATCGTATTATTTCACAAATGCTGCGTCTAATCCAACACCAAATAAGTTGACTTACAATTACCTATTTATGTTCCAAATGACGAAACCGGTGATATTTATAGTACTAAAAGCTCACAAAATGCTGTGGCGATAAAATAGGATAGTGTGTGATCAGGTCGCGTGAATTGTTGTTACTTTTGTGCCCACAAGACCTGGTTTACTCTCACTTTCCATGTCATTGCGGGTCACGCAAGATGTTAGAAGCGAGATGGCGAAAGAGTTGAATTTGATGCTGAATTTTATTGCATGCATTCGTATATTTTGGGTCACATGGGAGACCGCACCATTTCTTTCCTGATACTGTGCATTTCATCCAATTTAATTGAATGCATCTTGTCAATTAAGTCATGTTAGCGAATGAAGCAACAGCTTCACAAATATTGGATTTCCTGTATGTTCACAAAAATTCATAGTGTACAATATGACACTTTCAAGTCAAGCTGGTGACACTTAATTGCTTAATTAGTTCATACATGTTGTATTCAGAGTTTCCAGGTCGGGTAATTATTTATATTAGCCAGAATAGTGCGAACGACTAAATTAATATGAACTACTATCGGTAAACTTTGTTAAATTAGGATGCAAAACGATGACAGGGATCACAGTGAAATCGCCAGAATTTTATATTTATGACAAAACATGAAGCCTATTTATGTAGTGATCAAATACTCAAATGATTCAGGAGGAAAAGCTTTCACGAGTTGCATTTTATATTAAAAGTTAGCCAGTACCTATTCGGCAATTGTTTACCTCCATCTGCAGTCCTAATTCATGAATATCATCAAACTAGGAATCCTATGGGATCATGATGAGCATCCGGAGAAAGTGGGTTTATAGCATTCAAGTCGTAAAAGAAACCATAATTGCGATTTGGCAGTTATCCAAATTTGGTACTAGCTGTTAAAGAGATGCATTAATTTCTTTTTATGATCACTTCTTCTTGTTTGGATTAGGTGCATCAGTCGTTTGAGTGCATTTGATGACCCATCCACCTGCACTTTATCTGGGAAGAAGGCACAAATACTTCGGTGAACAACCCCATCGGCTCCCTTTGTTCACATGCTGCTGGCAATAAATATTTCGAGTTGAATCAGTTTTCACTCAAGCTTTTACTCGAAATGCAATAAGTGTTCTTGAAAAAGGATTTCCTCCCAGCATAGCCGATCCGAGCAATGAATCGACAGTTTTCACAAGGCATATATAATATGGAATGAAATTGATCTTGCTTCCTGATTTGTGAGCTTAATATGCAGCAAGATTTACATCTATGATTGCCGCACAGCGATCAATCATATGGACAATTATTAAGGAATAGTCTAGAAGGAACATAATTTTATGTTTGTATATATTTTGGAATCTTCTCTTCTCGCAGTCTTCAAATGTTTCCGAATTGCAAGTAATTTTACAAGATTAAACCCGAAAGATCATTTTATCAAACTTCATCTCAGCTCAATCATGTCCATGTAATAAAGTTTTGATGGTAGCAGCACATCTTGCTGTCCAATTTCAGCTTTGTAGATTGTGAAGAACGGACAAAAGTTTTACATGAGTGATGTTATCACTACTTCAACAAGATAAAGTAGTTTGCGCGTCCAGATTTCTTGCAGTTGCTCCAAATCTTCACAGCGTATAAGCCCAAAATTTGGCAAAATTTGGCCCATATTTTATGAGGTTTTATATTAATAGAGTGGTCAAGTATCAAAATATTTCTCATCCGCGTTCTAAGAAATTTTTGTATGTGCATGTACTTTCCGATGGCAGAATGGAGATTTCTTTCACGGTCCTAATCAATATACATATTTCCGCTTTGCTCAACTTTCACTCAAGTTGACCAAGTTAAAAAATGTAGTATGGAATAGTTGAATGTGAAAAATTGTAACACAATGATCCCACTTATTTTTAGCCGTGTTGCAAGATCGATTAAGATTTATAGAAATATGTTGAACCTGTTACATTTCAGCTATACAACCTATACAACCTAGAAGAACCTATTATTGAATTTTATTAAATATTAAGATCAATAATTCGCTTATTTCGAATTTTTTTATTTCCCAAAATTCGAATTAGCTACTATCTGTTTGATGTTTCTTGTATGTATGTATTTTTATGTACAATTGAAGACATTCTTTTCTTCCAGTAAATCTGATTGTCATTTCAACAAACTAAAACAAACCCCACGTACTAAATAAGTACACGAAGTTTCAACTACAATTCAATCAGTATTCTCCTGCTTTGTCAGGTCATTGCCATTTGCACATATAACATTTTGCATTTTCTGAAATGATATAATTCACTGTTCATATTGTGATATTTCAGTTCTTCAATCACATGCCCTCAGCAGCAAGTAAACTATTTGTCATTTATTTTCACATTTCACTTGTCAATTTTCATTTTTGATGTGACTGACAGATTTTCAAGTTGTGCCCTTATGAGCATAAGAAGCCAAACGACGCAATCTAGTCCCATTCCGCCGTTCTCTTGACCCCCACAAAGAATCATAAAACGAATTGCCATAAACAAATGCGAACTTGCACAACTTTCCAATTGGACATTAATCTGAACAGCAGGAAAATACAAACAGTGTTGGTGTAAAAATAAATATCAAACACGAGTTTTTGTCCTTTCTAAGAGTCGTTAACCTGTTCTTCACAAACAAAAATAACATGTTTACACAATCTGAAGGCAATGATCATTGCTGGATCATTGCAGTTGTTTTTTAGCAAATGTTGTCTGAATGATGTTCACTCTTTGAATAAATGATTCTGAATATTTTACACAACACAAGAAACTTTTTTGAGGACGCCTACGGAAATAATTCAGATGAATGAGCACGTGTAGGAGGTTACTTGAAGCGTGTTCTGTTTAAACGATATTTTGTACTCAAAAGAATATTTAAACATCGTTTGGTTTATTTGACTATTACGGATTGTTACTCAGATATTTAATTTTGGTGTGGTTAGAGCTCCCATCAGAGCAGAGGTTAAGAGTCGACATGGAGAAACATAAGTAGGACTAACAAGGGACACTCACGACCTGTCGTTTGAGTCCAGGGTACCCACTATGTTTTTTAGAATCTACTGGGACCCCTGATGAAGAATTCATTCTTATTTCCGTGTAAAACTCATATTTGGCCCAATGGCGTGGCGCCAAACTTAAAAATTTGCATTTTCGACCAATTTCAAACCCCCATAACTTTTGCAGTTTATGTCGGATTTTCAAGTTTTAAGCTTAAAATGATCAGAAAAGTCGAAATTTTTGAGAAAAAAATAAAAATACAAAATTTCTAATTTTTGAGATAATTTTAGCATTTTTTCGACGAACCCGAAATTTCGAAATTTTGTGAAAAGTTAAAAGTGATAATTTTGGAAAAAATTTCATAGAATACCAAAGTTGAACTCCTTGTCATGATTTTTGCCAAAAATTTTGAAAATCCGTCCAGGATTTCAAAAGTTATGGCGGTTTTAAAATGAAAAACCATCAAATTTGGCGAATTTGGCGCCACGCCATGGCCCCAAATATGAGTTTTACACGGAAATAAGAATGAATCCTTCAGCTGGGGTCCTAGTAGATTCTAAAAAACATAGTGGGTACCCTGGACTCAAACGACAGGTCGTGAGTGTCCCTTGTAAGCCTCAAAAAATAAGATGAAGAATTATTGATGGAATTTATAATTAGGTCAATGGTATCGTCCACGAGGGGAAAAACGGGTTCAGTTTCAGTCTTGATCAAATGGTCTTCCTCCTTCCGGAACTGTCTCCGGAGAAGCATAAAATAAATTTCCCTTATTGTGCCATGACTTTTTACGTCGAAACCGTTATACTTTGTAAACCAGAGCGATGCAATATCTGTGCACATATTTTCCCCAGCCCTTCGCCCTCTCTCTCCGGAAACTGAAGCAGACAAGAGAAAGTTGGAGAAATTGAAATGAGTAAAGACTTTCTCTCCTAATGCCGTTCTGGTTGGAGAATCATAAGAGCCAGAGAAACGCAATGAAAGAAAGTATTTTAAGAATGTGCTTATTTTTGCACACTCGAAAGGATTTCGGGGGAAAGAACGTTGGAATAGTTGCATTCACACCAGAGTGTTAGATACATTTAGTGCTGCATATTTGCAAGTCAAATTTCTTTCATTTATAAATAACGCTGTAAATGTCTGCACTTGTAATGACATGAGGGAGAGGGACCCGATTTACATTTTGCATAAAATGTGTGAGAACATGGCTCCAGAAATAAGAAGTTGATACACAATTTCCATGCCCAGATTAAATCAAAAAGGGGCAGAAATGGTAAAAGTAGCGCCATCGGGCATTTCCGGAGCATTTTATCATTAATTTCATTTTAATATTACGTTTAACCCAGTTTTTTCATGCCTGGGTGGCCAACTTTCATCATTTTCCGGCAGATATGTATAGCACAATATTTCTAATGGTTTGGTATAAAAGTGTAATTTTATCACATTAACTTATCACATGACGGAACTCAGCAGTCAGAAATAGTCTCTATATGTGTACGTATGTTCATATGTTGCTTTGTGTGTTTTCAGTCCCCCACCCAAAGGTTGGGTAGGTCACAAATAAAAAGTAGAGCGTACAAATATTTCTATTTTTGGCCATTTTGTGTGTCATCAGGGACCAGTTACAATGTGCTGTTACTGTCACTAAAGAAAGAAGATTGCACAGGAGAGGCTTTTGTTGTGGAACTGTTTAGGAATGCACACATAACACGACTGCATGGAAAAGTTGACAGAGTCGGCACGTATGCATGCATGTGTATGTACGTGTTGCGCAAATTTTAGGGATTCACACTTCACTCACCCATTTGTTTAATTGCGAAAATTGCAGCTTTCTTCTTGTGTATATACGTGTGTACACTATTATGTATGCTTCGGAATGCTACTATTTATGCTTTCCCCTAACGGCGTGCTACCATTATATGTTAGCAAAAAAAGTTACTACTACGACTACGAGCAGTAGAAAACCGTCATCTCATATCTGAAATATTCGTTTACATTTCGCAGAACTCCAATGGCGTACATTGCATCGTGTCACCGCTTTCGGGAACAATTCACATCCATTCTCTTCAGCCATGTTATGCATTCCCCACAAAATTCAGCCTGCAACAATCCCAATAACAGTCCAAAACATCATCATCATCATCATCAATCCAAGAATCAATTGTCCAGTTGCAGTGGATTCCGGGCCTGTCGATCACACGCACAAAGCCAAAGTCCAGGCCACACTATTTACTCTTGTGGCAGGCCGTACTCTTCAACGACAACAACAAGAACTAAAACAGCCCCCGTTGGAAGCTTTTCGGGCTTAACTGCGAGAAATTCTATCTCCGTATCAGCAAATAATACTTCCACCACTGTTACAATTTCCAGAAGCAATGGGTCCACAAAATCTCGAGGTTCTATTAAACGAAGTTCGAGTACGAAGAGGAAAGGTAGTCGCGGTCTGTTGGGGTCAGAGTTTATTATTGTGGATTCCGACTCTACGGCCATGTTGCACGATCAGGAATTGAGCAACTCTACCAATCCGAAGGGGACCCCAACACCTAGCCCCACGATGACTGACAATGCCAACGGATCGAATGAGGAACGCAAAGGATCAATTTTCTGTACCAATTTGCAGACTGCTTTCGTAGCAACTAGCATTGAAAATATGGGCAGGAAGAATAGTTTGCAAACAATTTTGCAAAATTATGGGTATGACTTTTCAGATTTGGGGGAACTGGTTTAAGGACTCAACGCCATCTGACTGAAACCTATTATTACCATTGTTATTGTACCTGGTTTTATTATAGCCATTTAATTAATTGACGACATATACTGTCCTCTCCCTATAATATTACGATTCGTCACCCATTTTATCCTGAAATATTCTGTCAAGTACTTTACGTCCTGACTTTTATTATATAACTACATATTTATCTATTTAAAGAATAACCCACATGAAGGCTGACTAGACACTACAGTAAATATTTAATATTGTGATGAAGAGGATAAGAATCTGCCCATATTAATTAATTATAGTTGAATATTTGATAGTCGTTGTATTTACCAGCATGAACATTTTCATTACCAATAATAATTTAATAATGTTTTCCCAACTCTCTCATTGAACACAGGTCTTGATGCCTGAAATAATGACAATTATGTATTAAATTAGAGGCTTGGCCAACATGGTGGAAAAGTTACCCCTTCTTTCCCTCCACTTGATAGTTAGGAGCTACACATTTATATTGTTCCCTAACTATTTAAATAAAGTATCGCATGAAATCTTGTCCCCGTAAAGTTTTATGTGTTAATGTCTATATAGGAATAACTATGCATAAGTCTCAATTCATTACACTTTGACATTATACTTAATATATTTACTGCATTAAGAAGTCTCTACCAGCAATTTAACCAATCCACACATTGTTGTTGTACGATACACCATTAAACACTGTGTACCCATTAGTTTTAAACAAATACTCGGTATTATTGGCTAAGTTATTATGCACAATACATGTATATACTTATGTACTTATGAATGAATAAAATCTTTTCATGGACTCTCATACATAATTTTATGCTCGTCAAGTGTAAATGAATTTTTAATTTGGCACACCTTTAATTCTGATTCATCTTCACAAAACTTGACGGTACACTAAATACGTAGTAATGAACGGAGAAGGAATCGCATCGTATTTAGTAAACGACCAGTGCATACAGTCACAGTTAATTCTCTTTTGTATGCATTACATACCATAGTGCACAAGCAAATGCTGCATGGTCTACTCTTTCGTGGGCAGAGGACACCTGAAGAAGAAATAAAAAATCAAGGAGTGTTTACCAGCAAAATAGGGATCGGCTTGTGTTTGGTTGCTTTTGTGGACCTCTATAATTTCAGCTTGCAAATTGCAAAGTAAATGCAAAATAACTTGAGCATAATTGGAACGGATGACCACATAGTTTTGGCATTTAGCAGAATTCAGAGAGTTCAACATCATAAGCATCTAGATAATGACGTACGTTTACTAAATATCAGGCTGCTGTCCATCATTCTTTTATTACGTATACGATGATAAAAAGTTGGAGTGTCTTGCCTCAGGTTTAAGCTGTCCATATGAACACAATATCTCTGCTGGACTGGAATCATATCTTGTTGCCCTATTCACTAAGGACGCCGGTTGGGCCTAACGGAGTTGAGAAGTTTGTGATAGAAATGGAATGTTTTGCCCTCAAGACAAAATATAAAGCGCAATGCACAACACAGACAAAGGAAAGACGTTGGTGGTACTTGACGGAGATACAACCTTACCAGTGAATGAAGGGCCTTCTAAAACAATGGGCATACGTATACCTAAATATATTTAGAGTACCTACCTCTGCCCTTTAAGTAGGCTCTGTGAATTTGGTATTTTTGAGCTCAGGTTATACCGCACACAATGTAAGCAAGCTATTTTCGTTCGGATTTCATACATATTTCCGAAACTTGAAGCTTTCATGGACTTAAAATCAGAAAGTTTCATTTCTTTAAATTCTCATTCCTGATCAATGTCATTGTTAGGATTGAAATTCTGCTAGTGGTTAAGTAGATTTGAAGTTAAATGGACAAGATGCATGTGGTATGCCGGCATAAGAACAATAAGACATATGTACAGCCACACAAAGCAAAGAACATCATCATATATGTATGATTGCATAAAACGCCCACGTCGTGAGCAGTACCAAAATAATTTTTAAACTCTGAGCTTCGTTGTACATTTCTTTACTAAATTTAAATTTGACAATTTGGGCACTTTGAAGCCAAATTTCAAATATATGCACTAAAGGCTACATTTTGTTCAGAAATTTAGATAATCCATAAATTGTCTAAAATATTGAGGCATTATTAATCTCGTAGTGCAGTGTTGAGGGCGCTGCAACTGCTTCATACATACAATTGCATGTTTGTACTATTACATGGATTATCTAACCTGGCCGGTATACACGGCACAGCATCTACGCATTACTAATATAATGATCTCTCAAACGTCTTTACTGGGTTATAAAACTTTGACGAAGTAATACACATAACTAACAGCATAGCCAAGAGTTAGTGAAGAATGTGATGAAAAAGGTCCAAAGGAAGATCACTCTTTTTCTCTCTCTCTCGAGACAACAATGGAAAAATTATTAAGTGAAGAGAACATCCATTCATGCATCCAAATCCGCATCCAACTATTACATATACACTTCTCAGTCAGGAACAGGGGCAGAGTACACAAGGGCTAATTATTTTGTTCTGCGTGTTTTCTTGCTCAAAAACGACCGACCACGACATGACAAGCAAAAGTGGCTGACACTGATTTTGGACTGCAGTAAAGGAGTCGTTGTTTCTACCTGCCCTAGAAAAGTCTCATCACTAAGGGCAGCGTGTGTTATGTCCAGCTAGAGAAAAAAGAATCCTCAGGCAGGAGATACTTGGTTGGACACTTCTTCCCCAAACAATGCAATAAACCTTTTCTCATAGTGCTACACCTGTGTACAATCAGTTACCAGTCGGATGAGTAATAATCCCAATGGTTTACTTGGAAGCGACCCACAGCGTTGTTGAACTGCAGACGAGTGAGTGGTGACTATTATTAAGACGTTGCATTCTTTACTAAAAGTTCGGATAACACAAAACAGCACATAGTCCGCTTCACGAGTTTGTTGCTTCAGTTTTGTGTAAAAGTGAGTTCTTGTAAATTAAATATTAGGTATTCATAATTGTGTTTGTAAGGTGCAGAAGACGTGTTTTGTAAAATATAACATTCTTAACAAGCAGAACAATAGGATGCATTGGAATTCGAAGTGTGTGACAATGGCGAGTGTGCCAAATATTCTCAGAGTGTTAAGTGCATTTCTAATTATCCAAAGCCTCAGTTTTCACGGGGAAGCTGCAGGTGCCAAGAGATCGAAGACGCCCAGTGGCTTGTATGTCGACGACGGGAAGGGTCACACTGTGCTCACGCAAAAATTTAGCAAAAAAGATGTGCGGGAGATATCATATGATATTTTGAACATTATGGGCTTCAACCACAGACCGCACCCACACCTCGTGGACAAAGCATCTCCAGCGTCTCAGTTTCTTCTGGAGGTTTATAACTCGATGGGAAACGAGGTTGATGTGGATTTAAGCAATGGAGAACATGGCAGACGACAGAATTGGAGAGGATCATCACACTTGAAAAATCTGAGCTGGAGTGAATTTAACGTTGACCAGACTGATGTGGACGCAATCAAACGAGCCGATGCCATCATCAGCTTCGTTAATAGAGGTAATAAAATGCCGATTCTAACTGAAAACCAGCCAAATACTTACTTTCATTAAACTTGTGGTGCCGTTTTTTACATTCAGTTTGATGATTTCTGTTACGTCCTTAACATATACGACGTCTTTTTAAACACTTGCGTATTGTGCATCCTCTCAACCGCGTCATTAGGCCACGAGGCACCACTGAATGTAGTAAAGAAAGCAATGATGACGATGTTGACTTTACGATAATTTTCACCAACTACTCGTGCGTCCTAAGCTGTTGTTAAATTTTGCAAACTATATACTTTGGTCTTAACCCTTGGAATGACTAGAGTAAAGTACGGCAATGATAAAGTGATATGTATACATATATTATATCGATATGTGAATAGCATACAACTCTACAGGAGACTGCCTTTTGCAATTAACTGAATTTATATTAAATTTTTACGACCAAACAGGACTAATTACAGAGCCAGCTGGTCTTGGTATCGTACTCTTCGAACGCATATTACTTTCACTTCCGTTGTTCTTACGTAATCCATACTTTGGGACACGTACTTTATAAACTTTTCTTTAGAAGGTCACTTTAGGGTTTAATTTCCTTAATTGCAACCACTTTGCCATATTTTCATTGCAGGACACAGATTTTCCGACAGACTGAAGCAATTTGCCGAAGATAAACAATTTTGGTTCGACGTCTCCGAAGTTTCCGATTTGGACTTGGTGTTGGGAGCAGAACTTCGGATCTGGAAAAGGACGCTGGCAGGCAAGAATGATCCCCCAAATGACGTCAACGCTGACCCAACAAGTGAGATCTTTCGAGTGTCTGTCCACCAAGTGTCACCTGGGGCGGATGACAGGTATAGCACCAAAAAATAAATAAACAACTTGTATTGACCATAAACATTATCGTACAACGTTGTCCGAGTTCATGAAGCTTTTAAAGCATCATCGCCTTGCTGGAACGTTGGCGGCATGATAAAAAGAAAGTGGTCATAATGGAGGTGAGAGTTACGCACAGACCCTTCTTGTGCTCTCAGGGGTGGTCTGCAAAGCAGGAAAATGGAATTGTCCAATATAAGAATTTCTGCAAAGTGCAGTATTGTTGCCACTTGAACAATGCTAAAGATACACAAAGTGAAAGCACCAATGATATACTAATTGCAAGTTGCTATAATTTTGGATGTGAAATTTGAGCTTTGATGAAATGTAAGCGATTTGTTTCCTCCGTAATGGATTTCTCATCAAGATGAGTTCAAGATGAACAAGTGTCTTTGACAATTTCGAATTCCTGACTTCACTCACTTTCAAGTATCATATCGGTAGAATTTAGTGTGACAAATTAAAAGTTAAAAATCGTTTTTGCCAGGGACCTTTGCATACTGCAAGTTATCTGGAACTAAGTTTCGAATTTTATTACTGTTGGAAATCTCGCCAACTTGCGCGCCAAGGACCTCATTCAGATTTCAATTTCATAGTTTCTCAACAGTACTTCCTATGAATTATACATAAAGTGAACGAGTTATGTACTGTGCGGGTGGAGCTTAAACCTACGGCCTCCTGAAGTACCTTGTGCTGAGACTAGGGTTTCTCGTGAGTTTAGCTCCATTCGCACAGCACATAACTAACTCACTTCAAGTTTAACACAACTCTTTTGTGATCAGACTCTGTTAAGAGTGCATATACGTTGAAAAAGTCTCATAACTAAAAGACAGAGACGACGGTTGCGTCTCCTTGTGTGCTGAGAGACTTTTTTTTAATGAGGGGGGGCGGGGCGAAGAGAGCAGCTGATTTTCATGTAAACAATGCAGGCAGTTGCATGTAAAAAGTTGCTTTGGGTTTTGAGAGTGACCGTTCCCACACTGAAAACGGGGCATCGCGAACCAGAAAAGGAGAAAAATTTCGACTAAAACTTCTAATTTGCAGCTAATACAAAATGGATTGATTTCGTTTTGGTGGCAATAAATTCCCAAGTTTGTGCTTTAACATTGCCATGTTGCATAAATTCCATAATAAATCTCGGTGAAAAGTATTGGACTGAAACATGATATGAGTCCAGGTTTCAGTTCAATACTTTTCTCTGAGATTTATTATGGAATTTATGCAACATAGCAATTGTAAATCACAAACTTGGGAATTTATTGCCACCAAAACGAAATCAATCCATTTTGTATTAGCTGCAAATTAGAAGTTTTAGTGACAAAAATCATTTACATTACTGGTAAGTGGCGAGGAGAAAAAGTCAACTCGCTCACTAGGATGCACAGAGTGTACCCGAACTTAAACTTTAATATAGCGTATTTACGACTTAATTGCTTTGAAGTTTTCTGAAATTATATTTGGAAACCTTGTCGCTATCAATGAATTTCCGCATGACAAACAATACCATATCAAACACGCCTTCTCAGTGTATCAGGAGAGACAATGCAAGTAATTTAATCTGTGTCAATAAACGGTTTTACTGCGCGTATGTTGTATGTTACACAAATCTAGTTTGATTCATGTATAGTCATCGAAGGGTGAAGAAAATAATCAACTGGTAACATGCTAAAGATGTCGTTCACAATGTTCTGTCAGTGAAATGCATTCCAGTCGTCTCAGTCAGAACTATAGTTTTGTTTGAGCATCACATGCTTGGATTAATAGCCGATCCTCATAAACGTTGAAGTAATGATAGCTCAGAGTAACTTAATTTGCTTCTTGAAATTGCAGGTCTTTTGAATTGACAGAGTTGGATGAAATAATGACTGCAAAATGGGAGCAAGGTTGGCTGCGTTTCAACGTAACTTCAGCATTCCGTAAATGGATACATCGACCTTCCGACAACTTAGGTTTAGTCATCTCAACGAAAAATTTCCTTGAAGGTACACAAGATGAAACTCATTTATTTAAACAACGTATTCACAATATTAAACCTAATCCTAAGAATAGAATAACGCACAAGATAGCAGTCTACATACGTATAGATTATCATTGTTGTGAAATGTGCATGGCCCATTTTAGAGTTGGGGTCAAACCCCATCAATTTCCATTAGTTAGATGAAAACGAAGTGACCCTCGCTCCGACCAAGGTCAGAGATTCACCACAAAGTTGTCACAAAGCTGACCAGATGCATGTATGTAGGTCACCGATATGCAGCAACCCACTTACTTTCCACTGTTTATCCAACTTTACCCGATCTTCTCCTCCGCCAATTAAACCATGCCTTCGTCGCATGATCAGCGTGTTTATACAAAAACTTTCTCTCTGCTTTCTCTATTCCTGTTCACGTACCCTTCTTAAAATATCTCCCAGTAAATGCTTGCGACACTATTTACCTTCCTTCTCTCAGATGTCAGTGCTGAGTTAGGGTTCAATATGTATGAACATATTTGAATGAGATGGCGTAATAAATTCGAAACTCATTTAAACAATTTGTATTTATTCTCTGTATGCCTCAAGTATCATGCTTGACTGCTTTCTCTTTTCATGGTATATCTCTGACCCTCAATGCACGAATACAGAGTTTTGGGTGGAAAGTACAAAAGATGAAAAGGTCTTATTAAATTTTTGCCATAAAACGCTTAAAAAGTGGGCCACGCTACTTTTGAATCTGTCCTTGTCCACGAAAGTCTAAATTGTACTGCTTTTTTATTTACGAATTTTTTGACTTCAGGTACCGAGGTCCCAATGTTGAAATCTGGGCTGGCTACAATAATGGACCCTGAAGAACACCAACCATTCCTCGTTTCTTTTTTGGAGAGTCCTGAATCCCACAAGGCGGAGAAAGCACATCGTCGTCGCCCATCTCGAGTAACTCGGTCTGCCGAAACCGGAGGAGCAAACCGACAAAAGAGAAACAAAAAGACCAAGAAAGCCCGAACCTATGATTTTCCGGATGTGTTGGATCGCCCAAAAAGCTGTCAAATGGGAATGTTGTATGTCAACTTTGAAGATTTGGGCTGGAAAGACTGGGTCATTGCTCCAGGAAAGTTGGATTCTTGGAATTTAATTTGTTTTGCATTAATAACCAAAGCATGTTTATTTGTATGCATAGCGTTGTACCCGATTTTGAACTCTTGATATTTTTGACACAGATGGATTCATTGCATACTATTGTCACGGAGAGTGCTCTTTCCCATTAACGGCCAGGTATGACAAGTTTTACAAAAAATTGACCAGTTTCGTTGTAACTCATGTTTATGCATTTCTTGTGTTATTTGAAATAAATACATTCATTTCATAATTTTTTATTTTATTTGCTAGTATGAATGCAACAAACCATGCAATCGTCTCCACATTAGTTCACACATGTAAGTACTTAACTATCCATATATTAAATCATATTAAATCACAGATATTAAAATTATGCTCTAATCTAAATTCTTCAGACTACCCGATGGAGTATCCAAAACCATCCTGTTCGCCCGTGAAGCTGGGTTCTATTTCTATGTTGGTATGAATTTAATACCTTAATTTCCTGGTCTATATTACAGCGTAACCCTTTTTGTTGTCATTTTAATCATTCCAGTATTATGACGACCTTTCAAACGTAACAGTGAAGAAGTACAAGGACATGGTGATCAAATCCTGTGGCTGCAAATGAATATTCTACAAAATCATTGATACATTTATATAATTTGCACTGACGTATAGACAAGCTTTATTATTGTAAAAACCCATTTTGCGTATCTTATACTTCTTCCATGCAGTACTGTATTTAGTAAGAAATTTGTTTCACGAGAGTGTCACATGTATGACATCAATATTTTTACCAACACTAGAAGTTAAACTATAATATGAACGTTTTAATTAAAATATAATGAAATCGTTCAGTAAAAATGGTAGATGAACATTGATTTCAATAATGCACATATGTATAAGGATGCTAATAATCAGGTTGAATTCTAAATGTTAATTATTATTCTATGAGACTGCGTAAACAAAAGAGGCTATGCTTTGTGAAATCGCCGTGTAATTATTATTCAGATGGAGTCATAATAGTTTATTGGTCAGTGAAAGGATAACCAGTACATTTGTACATACGTATGATGTGAAATAAATTCAAGAATTAAATTGATTAATTTGTATTACCAATTTGTATTACCTGTGGTATATAGTATTTGACATATATAACATGAGTTGGGGTTTTATAGCCTATGAATGTTTGTCTCGTATGAGAGATTGCATGCATACAAGTGTCGAACAAGCGGTCCAAATATTCACTCCATCATCGTGTCGTACTCGATCTGGATTCAAGAAGGGGGGCAAAGGGAACAGTGCCACTTGTCCAGAAAGTGCGTCTCATTCCGCAATTCGCCAGCAGGGAGTGAAAAGAAGAGGCAACTAATCGAGGGACACGACGTACGTAATCGCCATGCATCTTCAACATTTGACTGTCGCTGGTTCAATGCTCCGTGCTAATGGCATTGGCAACAACCAGCATTGATAGGCTTGTCTTAAAAGTATGACGAGTTAAACGTCCTGCTGCGCACAGGACAAAGTGTCAGGAGGGACTTGAAAATGTAAATGTGACGCCAACTTTATGCACCTTATTGTAATAGATGCCACTTCAACCGATCTATTGCTAATCACTGTCAATGAAACCCATTGATGTATTGCTGTAGATTACCACATTGGTTAGAAGCATTCCATTGTCGAGAGCGGTAGAGAACATAGTTGGAGCACTACAACGAACAAAATGTGGTGTTGTATAAGTTCAATTGTTTTGTGTAAAAACCTGCACAGAGTGAAGTGTCAATAAAGTGCCCACAATCTATCCTTCAACCCTTTTCATGACCGATTGGTGAAAACATGTAATTCTCAGTACTGTGTATGAATCAGGCAGGAGCTACATATTGGTGACGTATTTACTTATGTATGTATATATCAACAAATATTAGTAATACAGTCGCCGTTCTTAGCTGATGATATTGGTACTAAATACACTAGAAGTTCATGCATTTGTAAATATGACATTTGTGCAGGCACTATAATTGAATTTATTTCCATGAAGTTGATGTTTATAAACATTCAAAAGTTAATTACAAAGTGAACTGACACACCCAATGTGAGTAAGTACATGAGCACGACTGCCAAAACTCCGGCTAGATTAATTCACTCAGAATGACCAGTTACAGAGGATTCACGCTCCAGCAAGTGACTCTGGTTATCCATGTCATATTGCCATCTTTTGTATTTACTGTTGACCGAACAGGCGAGTTACTTAACGATTTGCGACTAACTCACTGGTAATTCTGTTTGCTTATCCTCATTTCATAATTTAAATTTCATGTTTATTTGTCGCCTTTTAACGTGCATCTTCTTATCACCCAAGGGATGAGTGGGGAAGCAATGCAACATGTCCTGAAAGCCTGTTCATTACTTCTCTTAAAGTGAGAATGGGAGCCAATTCGATAAACGGGATTCAAATTATGTGCTCGGACGAGGTCAGCAGCAGAAATAAAGCAAGCCGATCAGCATCGCTAGGTCGACCAAAGGGCGACTGGACTCTGTCAAAAAAGTGCAAGGCTGGGTTTGCTATTGGCATCTCTTCGGAATATTCCCCCAGCATCTCTGCCTCCCCGGGCTCATCCATTCAAAACTTAACTATTTTCTGCTCTGACGAATCTCCAAATTTTCGAGATGGTGGGGCCAGTAAATTAAATATTGAGGCTAAACCTTCAAAAGAACAGATTCAATTTTGTGATCCTGGGGATGCCCTTGTTGGGCTTAAAGTGGATATAGATAGCATCATAACAGTGGCCAAAGGTGACGAAGGACGACCTATGTTTTCAATATGTTTACACGATGCTAAAAAGCATTTTAACATGTAATTATTGCAGGTGACACATCTTCCGTGAAAAATATTGGCATACAATGCAGGCCTGTCAGCAACCCAGCAAACCATTATGACATAGAATTCACTTGGGTCAAGGTAGGCACTTGCACTTGTGTGTTCTTCACCTTCACCCCCTCAGATCTCATCATGATTTAATTCAATCTATTTGTACAATCCTAGCGCTATGGAATGCAATGCAATGATTCACAACTTCTCCCAACCACGTCAAGTGCACAACCTGCAAGTTCAAAGAACAGCTCCGAGAAGGTCCTTGTCGCCTGTGCCTACAAGTCTTGGACAGGGATTGGGCTGAACACAAATATCCGCCGAGCCGAAAAGGCCATGAAGGTGTACGAAAGCATCGGCCTAAACAACAATAAAGACTTTGTCAAGTGGGCACTCCTTCGCCGTCTGATGAGCACGGACATGAGAACGTGGTTCCTGAAACATTTTCCAGACAGTCCTCAATTGCTGGATAGTTTTGCTGCAGAAATATTGATTAACGATGTTCAAAATTCTTCAGGGATTCTGCTCCACAAGATGAAAAGATATCCTATTCCTGCAAATCTCTTTAGAAAAATGAGGGCTGATAACAAACTAATTTTGAAACATGACTCAAGTTTTGAACAATTCGTGGGGAATTGCGCTATGTACCAACTTGCCTTTTCCTTGTTTCGAACAAACCATCACCCATTCCTCGAAACTGTGGTGAATAAGAGGATGACTCGTATCGTGTTTGAGGAGTTTGAAATTGAAAATATGAAAGAGGACAAATAAATTGTCATTCTTTTAAAATAGCTAAAACACGATGTGCATTGTGCACGACGTACATATGCAATGCATACATAATTTTGAGTATGATTATTTGAGCACAGGTTACGCTAAAAACTATTAATTTAAACATGTACAAAATTCATACAATGAGAATCTGTGATCCATGCACAGATACACACCTTACGGGTGAGGCCGTAAACACTGGGCGAATACATGAGCTCCCTCTTCTCACTTGCACCGGTTTTACCCGGGTAGTTGCGTTGTCGCTTTCTCTTCCAGAGTTTCAGCAGATGGTGTGCATGGGGAAATAATCCCATGCGATGGCTCCCACCAGCAATCCAATATATTGTTGAGATTTTAATTTCTTCCCTTGTTCGCTGTATTGTTGGGTAGGAGTGTTTTTGTTCCAACTGCGACTGCCATTGGGAGGACGACCACACCAAGTAATGCCTTGATGATGAAGAAATGAAGTCAACTATGTGGAAGGAAGAGGAGTATTAGACGGCATAATTGGAAAGGGCTTTGGTTTAAGTGCTATGGATGGGAAATCACAAAGAAGTGCAGTCGTAGGAGAGAAAGAGAGACTCGTGAGGAGAAAGACGTGTGTTTTAGTGAGATGAGAGGCGGAGGAGGAGGGGGCATTAAGAGCCCAAGGAGAAAGTGAATGTTGCATACAAAGTTATATTGTGTGTGAGAGAGTCATTCGTTAATTTGGTTTAATTGATGGTATTAAAAGATGATTTGGGAAAGTGGTGAATGCCTCGACGTCCACATTGCTCCTCGTCTGCACGAGAGAAGAAAGGCCGGGAGAGAAAGGACGAGAGTGGAGGACGAAATTGTGGTTCACTTTTTAATCCCATCCTTTGTTAATCTCTGAGTTTCTTTGCGCTTTGGTCTGAGCGTGATTTTTCATCTAAATACACCTCTTTTGTCTCTCTGCCACCAAATCCTTTTTAAGACATCTTCTCCTTTCTCTCCAACTTCTTCCCCCTTTTATTCCCTCCACTTTAATGACTACTAATTAAGTCGATCTAACGAATTTTTCCTTCTCTCTCTCTCGCATCTCTCATTTTGGTTCACATCCTACTCCACAATTCCTGCCATTCTTCTAGTTACACGGCTCCAATGAAAAGAGTAATACTCTGGATGTGACAATGCTACCGCAGACGATGCTTATTCTACACAAAAAGGCCACGAGAACTGGGTTGGATGAATGCAAGTACGCCGAGTCATGCCATGTAACACATCGTCTTTAAATCCTTTCCGACTGAAAAATGAGCTTCGTCAGTCAAACGATGTCAGCTCGAGCAAAAGTATGGGGAGAACGTGAGAGGGAAAGATGGAGAAAGAAAGTTGAAAGTTAAGTTAACAAAGAAACGCGCTGTCACAGATTGAGGTGAACTCGTGTAATTCTTTTTCACTCATTGACACTTTTCCAACCCAAGTTGGTCTTATTTCAGAGACAATGATGGAAAGTTGAGATAAAGCTTGGCAAAAATTAGAGCCAAAATATTTAAAGTCCGTGTTTAATCTCGGCATTAGTGCATGTCTCAACCTTTACCTGAATTTCATGACAGAAAATGGTTTGATTGACCACACCACGAACAATAATTTGTTCCGATATTTGTGTATGCACTGCAGCATGATTTGTTCAGATAATACGAATGCTTTGCCCATTTGTTGTTCAGTTTTCACGCACGCACGTACGTACTTGAATCTCGGAAACAACTTTTGGGTACGGACGACCTGATCCATCTGCGACAGTGAAGGGCTCCCGGGAGAGAAAGAGAGAGAAAGTATGCTGAAGTGGAGCTGCCCGCTATAAATCAAGATTTAAGAAGTTATTTTCTAAATACGGTCATAAATAGCGAGTTAAGATATTGACCGATTTGTCGTTGGAGGAGTGAATTATTTTTGACCCGTGCTGATAATACCCTACTTTATGAGGCTCCAAGCACCACCAGTCCACTGGTAACTAAATTCCAGTTAGTTTGCTGTTCCCAATCTGACTGAGCTTTCCCAATAGGGAATCATCGGTGAGTGAGGCGAGGCGGAGGAAGGGCAGTGAAAACTAAATTATCTTTTGAGTACTGAGAGAGCTAAGAAATAAGACACGCAATAATATTCTGGCCACATAGCCCCACTAAATTTACAAAAGCTCTTCTTGTCCATATCTCTCTCCTTTGGTTCATCTTGGCCAGGCAATAAATATTAATATTTGGTTTTCTGTATTAAAAGTTTGTTGTGTCCTTATGTGAATGCTGATATGAACTGGGAATGGCATACATAGTGTAGGAAAGTAAACAGGAGAGCAATAAGCGATAGGATATTTGTCAGAGGCGGATGATATACTTAATACTTAATATACTTAAATACTAATAAATACTTAGTATAAAATATTTATATTTATATTTAATAAATAATAATAAGACTGTCTAGCTAGTATTAGAAAGCAAAGTCGAAAAAGGGGCGAAGCGAGACA